CTTGTCTTTCTTCAAAGTCTTGGTAGGTTGGAATGCATAGGGTTTCCAGCGGGGCCCATGGTAGAGGTGCAGAACTACCGCATCGGTATCCCAAATAAAAGGGTTTCTGTGGGTGAAAATTCTTAAGTTTGAGTTTGTTTTTTTAAAAGAAATGTGTGCTCAGAAAGGTGGAATTAAAAGGGGGAATTGCCTTAAATACAGCCATTGTTAGTGTTTGGGTATATATTTTCTTTTTATCTGCTTTTTGTTTGTTTTTAACCTGAGTATACTTTTGTGTGCGTCGTGCTGGGGTGGAACCCAGGTCCTCGTGCATGCCAGCCAAGCGCTGTATCACTGAGCTCCATCCCAGCCCTGGTGAGTATACTTAAAACCTTGCGAATTGTCCTTCATTATTTGAGTGAATTTTGAATACCCAAACAACGCGAAATGTTATTTAAAGAGAAAAATCAGCTCCAGTTTATTTGGATAGCTTTTATGTGGTCATTCGATTTGTTATCAAAATCACAATGTCCTTCTAAATGCTAAAGAAAGAGCTTGAAGTTTCTTTTTTCATTAAAACTTGAGATATAATTAACATACCACAAAATTCACCTTTTTAGTGGGGGCACACACCTATAATCCCAGCTACTTTGGAAGCTGAGGCAGGAGGATCACAAGTTCAAGTCTAGTCTGGGCAACTGAGTGGAGGCCCTATCTCAAAATAAAAAGGGTTGTTGATGTAGCTCACGGGTAGAACAACTCTGGGTTCAATCCTTTGAACCAAAAAAAAAATACCTAGTACTTTAAAAATATGCAGTTTTTAGTGTATGGTGTTTTTAGTGTATTTACAAGGCTACAACCATCTCAGTGTCTAATTTCAGAACATTTCACTAGAGAAAGAAGTCTTATTCCATTAATAGTCCTTCCCTATCCCTTTTCCCTCACACTCTGGCAACCATAAATCTACTTGACCCCAGAAGTTTGCCTAGACTGGACATTTCATGTAGACAGAACCTTAGAATCTGTGGCCTTCTATGTCTATCCTCTTCCCCTTGAAAGTCTTCTAGATTCATCCTTGCTGCACGTGTACCAGTACTTTATTTCTGTTAATGACCAGGTAAGGTTCCACAGTGTGGTCACACCGCATTTTGTTCCTTCATCAGTTGGTGGGTATTTGGATTATTTCTGCCTCTTGATGAATATGAATAATGCTGCTGGGAACATTTCTGTTCACATTTTTATGTGAACCATTTCTCTTGGGTGTAAACTTGGAAGTAGGATTGTTGGATCATATGTTAAGTCTCTGTTTAGCCTTTTTCCTCCTGATTTATTGGGGTGAAATTCAAATAACATACAAGAAACTATTTTCAGGCGAACAATTCAGTGACATTTAGAATATACACGATGTGCAGGCACCACCTCAGTAGATGGTCTCTCTCCTTCCCCAGCCCAGACAACCACCCATCTGTGCTCTGTCTTCCTGAATCTATATATTATATATAGTTCACATAAACTGAATCCTACAGAACATGTCTTGTGTTTTCACTTAGCCTTCTTGGGAGTTCGTCCTAATTATGGCATGTGTCAGTACTACTCCTTTTTGTGGCTGGATAACAAGCTGTTTTACTCTAGTGAGGATCTGCCAAACTGCTTTCCAAAATGGCTGTGCTATTATATGTCCTCCTCATCAAAGTGTGAAAGTTCTGCTTTTTCTACATTATTGTCAACATTGGTGATTGTCTTTTTGATTATGTCCCTCCTAGTACATGTAAAGTGGTATTTAATTGTGATTTTAATTTCTGAAGTTTTAGACTGTTTTGGGTGCTGGGAATTGAACCCAGGGCCTCATGCATGCCAGACAAGTGCCCAGTCACTGGGCTGCACCTGCGGTCCCCAGTGTGGTTTTGGTTTGCATTTCCCTGATAACTAATGATGTCGAGTGCTTGTTGGCCATTTGTGTATTTTTGGAGAAACATCTTGATTCTTAAATTTTTATTTATGTATCTTTTATCACTGAGGTATGAGCTACTAGACCCTTTTCAGATAGATTTGCAGATATTTCAGATAGATTTGCAGATATTTTCTCATATTCTGTGAATTGTCTTCACTTGCTTGATAGTGACTCCAAGCACAAACATTTTTAATTTTGATGAAGTCTGATTTAGCCTTTACTTTGGCGGTTTATACTTTATGTATCATATCTAGAAACCAATATCTAGTCCAAGGTTACAAAGATTTACCCCCATGTTTTCTTCTTATACATCTTAAAGATTTAGCTTTTCAATTTAGGTCTTTGATCCATTTTGAGAAAGTTTTTGCATATGCTTAGAGGTAGAGATCCAACCTCATTTTTGATTGTTGTCCCTTGTGTTCAAATAACTATTCTCCCCTAACTGCCACTGAATTGTTTTGAGACTCTTGTTGAAAATCAGTTGGCCAAAGAAAAGTCTGACTTATAGTTTGAAACATGTTTAATTGTACATAGAGTGTTTTTTTTTTTTTAATTTTTCAATGATCAGTTAGTTCAATTTAGGTCATTTACTAGAGTTTGGTTTTTTTTTTTTTTGTGTGTGAGAGAGAGAGAGAGAGAATTTTTTGATATTTATTTATTTATTTTTAGTTTTCAGCGGACACAACATCTTCGTTTGTATGTGGTGCTGAGGATCAAACCCAGGCCGCACGCATGCCAGGCGAGCGCGCTACCGCTTGAGCCACATCCCCAGCCCTACATAGAGTGTTTTTATTCTTAGCATGCTAGTTGGGGTGAAAAAAAAAAAAGGTGAATTTTTTCAGAAAAGGAAAGTTGTAGCTGGGTGTGGGGTATGCTCCTGTAATCCCAGCTCCTCTGGAGCCTGAGGGAGGAGGAATGCAAGTTTGAGTCCAGCTTCAGCAACTTAGTGAGACTGTTGCAGAATTAAATACAAAGGCTGAGATTGTAGCTTGCAGGTAGAGCATTTGCCTAGCAAGTGCAAGGCCGTGAAAGGAGGGAGAGAAGGAGGGAGGGAAGGAAGGAAAGTAGATGAATTATATATTTTTTTAGTTGTTGATAGACCTTTATTTTATTTATTTATATGTGGTGCTGAGAATTGAACCCAGTGCCTCACACATGCCAGGCAAGTGCTCTACCACTGAGCCCCAGCCCCAGCCCCATAAGTTGTATTTTTAAAGAATTATACATTTGTTTTATTGGCTCTCTGCAAAGTCATGTAGTTAGTATTTAGTATTCATTTGTAAGGTCTGGAACTAGCTTTCCTTTTATCATTGAGGGCACTAAGGCCTAAAAGTGTAGCCATAACCTACAGGTTGGTCTAGGTGTTGAGTAAATATTTGTTGATGTTAGTTGTTAGTGTGCTTTGTAAACAGCTAATGATTTATGTGACACTGAGTCTTTATGACCCATCTGTTAATTATGTTGTTCATATCACAAAATGTGTATTTTATGATGATTCACCTTGAGACACGGTCTTGTGCAGTACTGAAGAAAACTTTGTGCTTTCTGATTTATGTGAGTGTGAGGAGCATAGGTTTCAAGTGGTATATAGGAAGTACTACTTGGATGGTATTCAGCCACATGGAAGAGAAATTCAGCTGTGCAGTTTATCCATATGAGGTCTGGTGGCAGTCCATCTGATGGCACCCGCCAGCTGGGTGTTAGCTTTATGCTTCTGCTGTGCCTTTCTTGTGGGTCTGGCTTCATGGCATAGGATGGCTGCTGTATCTCCAGGCATTGTATCCCATTCCAGGCAGAAAGGGAAAGGGTAAGAGAGGAGTAGGAGACGGTGCTAAATGCTCTTTCTTCTTCTTTTTTTTTTTTTTGGCAGGGGGTAAAATGGGGTTTGAACCCAGGGGCACTTAACCACTCAGCCACATCCCCAGCCCTTTTTATTTTTTTATTTTTAGACAGGGTCTCACTAATTTGCTGAGGCTGGCCTCAAGCTTGAGATTCCCTGCCTCAACCTCCCAAGTTGCTGCGATTACAGGTGTGCACCACCATGCATGGCCCAAATGCCCCCCCCCCCTTTTTTTTAAATCATAAAAGCAGTAGTTTTCCTGGAAACCCATAATGAGAGGACTATCTACATATTGGCTAGAATTATATCACCCCCACTCCCAGTGCTAGGAGAACACAGGAAATCAAGATTGTATAGTATCTTTTATTTTTGCCTGGAACAAAAGTAAAAGGACTTACCATTCATACCAGCGGGCAAGTTCTGAGGAGTTCATACCTTCTAATCTACATTTTGGCCATGTACGGTGTCCCCTCACGTGGTTTCCTTCTATTTCCACATCACTGTGTGAGAAATTACTAGTTCAGGCTTTCAGCGCTTACTCTGTCTAGATGTCATGCAAATCTTTCAGTATAAAGTTATCTAAGTGAATCTGCATGACCGGTGCCCTCGTCATTTAACCTTGTTTATTCATTGTTTCACGTGAACCATGATATGGCTTACCTTTGGCCATGGACATCATTGCCCTGGATCCCTTCCGTGTTCCCACTAGGAGATACTGAGATAGTTTTGTTGAAAGAAATGTTTAGAATTAGATAAGTTGAGTTTTTAGCACTTTAAAATTTTTAAGTGACCCATACCTTACAGAATGTGTATGTGTGTTGGTTTGAGGGCTGGACCTCTTATCACCATGTTTCTTAAGTCTAAATATTTTAAGTTAGACTAGGAAAGGTACAGAGGAGCATACAATAACCAAATTTATAGGAGTTAAGTGTTTGTTAAAACCCAATATATTTTTCTCTTAACATTTTAAAATAAATTTTTGAGGTATGATTTTTATCAGAGCAAATTTGATGTAATGAAATTTAGAAAATGCCAAATGGAAATACTTGTCCTGCCACTTGTACTGGGATTTAATTGTGGGGTACTCTGCTAGTGTCGTGCAGTCTGGATCCCAGAGGCCACACTGGACGGCTCCAGAAGAGAGCAGTCAGGCATCGTGAGTCGGGTGTTCCCAGAGACCACGCATTAATGAGGACATTTCTTGACAGACTTTCTGTTTTTCATTTTAAGATCCAGTTGTGGGACACGGCAGGACAAGAGCGGTTCAGGAAGAGCATGGTACAGCACTACTACAGAAATGTGCACGCTGTCGTCTTCGTGTATGACATGACCAACATGGCTAGTTTTCACAGCCTGCCATCTTGGATCGAGGAATGCAAACAGCATTTGCTGGCAAATGATATACCACGGATTCTCGTTGGAAATAAATGTGACTTGAGAAGTGCCATTCAGGTACCCACAGACTTGGCACAGAAATTTGCTGACACACACAGTATGCCTTTGTTTGAAACCTCTGCTAAAAACCCCAATGATAATGACCATGTGGAAGCTATATTTATGACCTTGGCTCATAAGCTTAAGAGCCACAAACCATTAATGCTTAGTCAACCCCCTGATAACGGAATTATCCTGAAACCTGAAGCAAAGCCTGCAGTGACATGCTGGTGCTAAATAACAGCTTTATTGCACTATCTCATTTTGACTAAAAATGCTTTTGAAGAATGACAGTGATAAGTCTTAAGATTTAATCTCAAATATAATGGATCATCCTGACACCTCACTGTTATCAGTGTCATGCTTACTTTTGTATTGTGTATCCACTTAATCAAGTTTGTCACTGTGACAACACAAGGGAAAAGTTGGTTTTGAAGTGAGATTGAAAATGAAGCAAGGCTAGGAGGAATACCAGCTCTTCCCATGGAGAGCCCCATGAAAAGGCCTCCAGGGAGCAATGCTGGAAGTGCCAGTCAGGAACCCTTCCATCCCACGCTCCTGGGACTGAAAAAGAAAATCTGTTCAGGATACACCTCCTGATGTAAGTCTGGTGTGAGGGCAAATGCTGTGACTTCACAAGGTGCTTTATACTTTATTTTATCATCTTTAAGCAGCAAAAAATGAATTGAAAGCATCTGAGGAGTTGTAACTTTGGGGTGGGGTTTTGGTGACAGGGGTTGCTAGTATTTCTTGTTTCCTGTCACCCTGAGCAACTTCATGACTAAGTGCTGGGTGAACTCAGCTTGCGTTTGGATTGTAGCTCCGAGGGCATTGCTCTAATTGATTTGAGTCTGTGTGTATTTCTGTAATAGTATTGTGTTATCAATTTTTAAAATGTTTGAAACTTATGGTCACAATAAACAGTTCCTCCTCAGTGTGAAAAAATAAGTTAGATATCGTCTGTTCCCTCGGTGATGGAAAGAATATTTCAAAATTTTTTGCCCTAAGTATTTTAATTTTGAATTTAAGACTTTGCACATAGAAAATAGCACGCTTGACTATGAAGCTATTTACGTGAATGGAATAAAAGCCATGGACTGAACTGCAGTGTGCACATAAACTGATTCTGACACTTTGCTGCCCTTGATAATTTTAGATGAAAGTAAGCCAAAAAGATGATTGTACTTAAAATATTTTCACAATGTGGAAAACCAATTAAACATGTCCTCTAATCTAGTTTAGGATTTTCTGTTTAATCATTAGGGTGATCCTAACTGGATAATTTAGTTACAAAAAAAACAAAATCATTCTATAAATAAACTAAATGAAAGTAGTGATTATAATAAATATTCAGCTTTAAGTATTAGGGCTCAAATTGGCTTTATTTGTATTTAAGATTAATCCATTTTTCTTAATCATGCTGGAATTAAAAAATAAAAATCCTTTTACCTTTATCTAAATTAACATTGATTTGTAACTATTTTTATAGTAAAACGACAGCTGGAGTAGTTGTGATGGCTGTAGTAGTTTTTTAAAGAAGGGAATCTGTTGCTTTTCAGAACATTTCCTAAAGTGGGGGAAGAAAATTTATAGACTTTCCAAGCACATTTGTGTTTTTTTCAGTACTGTTATTATGATTTTAAAAAGAAGTAATTCAACTTTCTTTTTTGTAAGAAGTTAGTACTAAGTGTCCTTTATACTTCTGTGAAAGGACTTATTTTTTCACTTTAATAATTTATTAATTTTAAAATATTTGTATCATTTGCAACAACTTATATTTTAATTTTTGGTATGTTATCAGTTGAATGGGGATAAAGCTTTTAGATATTCCAAAATATTTATAAAACATCTTATTGACTGTTGAAATCACTTCCAAAATGGTGACTATCTAATAACTAATTATAAATTTTTTTAAGCACAAATCACACATTTTGTAAGTCTGTGAATTTATTTTAACTCTCACTTCTAATTGATATATCAGGTATGTCTTAGAAAAATCTTTGAGAACACCAAAGGAAACTACCCCAGAATCTTATGTAGTTTGTTGTTAACAATGCTTTAAAAGTATATTGCTAATAACATATTTCCTCAAGAAATCTAAAGTTGAATAATTTTATTGTAGAAAAGTATGTTACATTTATCCATGAAGTTCAATAAATCATCTTTGTTATGAAGAAATGGTGTTTTGTTTTCTTTGTTTACTGGGTTGAATATAAAATTTTTTAAGAGTCCCTCTCCCCCACCTCACTTTCCAGATAATATATGTACACAGGTCGAAAATGCCTAATCTGCAAAACCCAAATCCAAAACTTTTTCCATTCAAAAATGTATGGATTTTGGAGCATTTTGGTGTTTCAGATTAGGGATGTTCAACCAGCAGTAAAGTCTATGCAGATATTCTAAAGTCCAGAAAAACTCCCAAATCCAAAATACTTCTGGTTCCAAGCATTGTGGGTAGGGGTAGTCAAAAGTCTTAATTGTAAGCAGAAAATGCTATAAAAGTGGTTGACATCTATTTGGACATAAAAGAATTCAGCAGAATGAATAGATGCAATTATAAAAAAACGTGCAAGGACAGAAGCTGTTCGAGGTATAAGACTGCAATTCAGGCCCTTGAGGAGAGTGAGCCTGGGGCTTTGGGGCCTCTGAAGTTGAGACTGCTGCCCCTGGTCACTTTAATCCACAAGTTACTCTTGTGTCTCAACAATTACACTAGTGAATGACTGCTTTCTCAATCATCTGTGGAGTCAATGAGTTGGTCATGTCTTTTTGAGGCCCCTGGGGGACAAAGGTTGACTCACTTGGAATAAGCTGATCGTGGAAAACGTTTAATCAAGCATCTGCCATGTGTGCCCCAGTGGTGGTAAAAGTAGAGTTACATAGACCTGTAAGACTGTTCTGTAAGAACTTGCAAAATAGGATATAAGCAAGTAGGAATTCTACCATACAGTGTGGTAAATGTAATCAAAGAAGCATATACAAAGGACAGTGAGCACAGAATGGACTTAGATGAAGGAAACAGCAGATAATCCAAAACCTTGCAGCCAAGGGGACATAGTAGCTGCACCTTGAGGTAGATGTGAGGCAGTCTTGTAACAGGAGAAATCTGCATCCCAGGTGGGTGCACCAGAAGACTCTTGGAACTGAACTTGGAGAGAATGGCTAATGGTTGAGTAGTTGGGGTGGTGGTGTGGTCGGAACACTGGGAAATGAAGCTGGCTGATAGGATGTGGTTAAACTGCTAAGGTGTCATGTGCAGTGGTTGAGGGCTGATTTGAGTGCAGGTTTTGGAAACAGTTTAAATCAGCCCACAAGGGAGAATACATTGTAATGGTCTGATAAAGTTTTTCCCTGAATTCAGGAGAGCTGGGATTGAGCACTCAGGTTCCTAACTCTGAGCCCAGCTTCTCTGTACATCTTCATTCTTCCTTACAGCTGGATTTCTGCATGTTTCCGGTTATTTGGCAGAAGATGTGGCCACTGATTGCGTATGAACTTCTGCTTGCTGCAGCTGTCCCAAGAGCAATGAACTGATTGCCAGGCCACGTTGAAATATCTAGGATGAACTCAATGGGCCTGGCTAGAGCCAGGTGCCCTCCCAAGACCAACAACCGAAAAGGAGAAGTCATTTCCACATTGTGGAGGAGAAGTAATTGCGGGGGAAGGAAGTGAAAAATGAAGATAGCTGTTACAGCCACACAAAAGCATTTGAACTTTAATACTTATTACATAAGTATAAAATGAAAGCATTTAGCAAGGGAGTGAGATCATCTTTATACTGGGAATTCCAGCAGCAGGGGGAAGGACACAGGGGATAAAGGCATGGTGACAGTCAGCTTACCATAATAGCCTGGAAGAAAGAGCTTTAACTGGGACACACTCAAAAGAACACAGAGTTGAGATATTTCAGCTAAAATCCCAGCTGGAGGGCTGCTCATTGTAGAGAACTTGTTCAGGTTCGAGGTCCTCGGTTCAATCCCGAGCATACATAATAAAAATTTAAAAAATAAAAAGAACTCCCCAGGAGTTGAGGATGGATAAAATCTAAAAGGCCAAGGTCAATATTTACTTCCATGAACCAGTTAGTATTCTTTCCTAGAGCTAGCCATTGCATGCATGTCTGAGGTCAGATGTTTTAATAATGTCTGATTTTGGTTTTACTTTTTGGGACAAACTATTGTTTTAATTTGTCTTTATCCAGAGTTTGGTTCTTATTATTTGTAATCATAATATTTAAAAAATTTTTTTTTAATTTATTTAAAATGATCTGACTTTTGGATTCTAAAGCCTTTTAGGTATTTTTATTATTTTTAAAAGTAATTTAATTATAGAAGATATTTTATATTTTTCTTGGAATTCCATATGTTCTTTGAATTACATTCAATTTTTGTTTTGGATCATTCATTCCATGGAATTAACAAGAGTATAGGAAGGCATCTTATTATTTATTAGCTCCTCATTATTAATCCTTCATTGCCAGAAATTAAAGAGCTTCAGTTTCAATAAAACATGGCCAGTAATAGGACTTACTTTTTAAAACTTATCTGTGTGTGTGTGGTGCTGGGGGTTGAACCCAGGGCCTGGCATGAGCCAGAGAGGCAATCTACCATTGAGCTCTACTCCAGATCTTGATTATCATGGTTTTAGCATGAAAATAATTTTAATGCAGTGAAACTTAGCAGTCTTTTTATGGCTTTAGATTTTGTTGTTATTGTCTATTTTTTGCAGTCTGGGGATTGAACCCAGGTGCATTCTACCACTGAGCCATATCCCACCCCTTTGTATTTATTTTAAGACAGGATCTTGCTAAGTTGCTAAGGCTGGCCTCAAACTTGCTATCTTCCTGCTTCAGCATCCCAAATTTCTGGGATTGCAGTACCGGTATATGCTACATACCCAGCAATCTCTTCCCCCCCATCCCATCCCCCTCTCATATCAGAGATTGAATCCAGGGGCACTTAACCACTGAACTACATCTCCAGCATTTAAAAAAAAATTTAGACAGGGTGTCTCTAAGTTGCTTAGGACCTCACTGAGCTGCTGAGCCCTGCTTTGAACTTGCAATCCTCCTGCCTCAGCCTCCCAAGTCACTGGGATCATAGGTGTCCACCACCATGCCTGGCAATTTCTCCTTTATAATATTGATCTTTGATCTATCTAAAATTGATTTTAATGAAAGGTATAAATTATCTATCTAACTTTTTTCAGGTGGTAGCTACTTATCCTACCACTTGGCCTATTATTTTTAATAACCTGTCCTCTTTGAGTTTGAGATTGCAACTTGATCACTTACTCAATGTTTAGGGACTTCTGAATTTTCTATACTATTTCATTAATCTCCTATTCATGTGTCATATGTTTTAATAGTTATAGTTTATTGTTTTAATATCCAGTAAGGTTCATTCCCAGTTTTTACTCTTCTTTTTCAAAATTTTCATGATTTTTGCACATTTTCCCCAGTGCTGGAGATTACATCCAGGGCCTCCCACATGCTAGGCCAGGGCTGTAGCACTAAACTCTCCAGCCCTCCATCGGCACTTTAAAATCAGTTTGGGATCTGAAGTCTAGTATAGAATAATCCTGGTTTTTCATTAGGTTACTGTTCAATTTTGAGATTAATTTAAAGACAATCAATACCTTGTTAAGACTTTCTCTTCAAAATCATGATGCATGATGGCCCAGGCTGAGGATGCAGCTCAGTGGAAGAGCATTTGCTTAGCATGCAGGGAACCCTGGGCCTGATGCCCTGCACTGCAAGAAAAGAGGGAGATCATGACAGCTCTTCCCGTTTGTTCCAGTGTTCTTTTGTATTCCTCAAGAGCGTTTTAGAGATATTATTTCCATATGAATATTGCTCATTTCTTGAGAGGTTTATTTATTTTATTTTTTAATATTTTTTGAGGTGTCAATGGACCTTTATTTTATCTGTATGCAGTGCTGAGAATCAAACCGAGTGCCTCACACATGCAGGCAAGCACTTTACTACCACTGAGCCACAACCCCAGTGAGAAGTTTATTTTTTATATTTTCTTTTAATCATCCTTTGGTGTTTGAGAAACTTTTTTTTTTTTTTTTTTTTGTGGTACCAGGGATTGAACCTAGGGGCACTTAACCAACATCCCCATCCCTTTTTTATATTTTTATTAGTGACAGAATCTCACTGAGTTGCTTAGGGCCTCACTAAGTTGATGAGACTGGGTTTGAACTCGCGATCCTCCTGCCTCAGCCTCCTGAGTCGCTGGAACAGGTGTGCCCCACATTGGGGGACTATTAAGTGTTTTGAGAATGGATCTCAAATCTATATATTTTGGTCAAGATGGAGAAATTGGACCAGATGCCCTAGGCTTAAACAGGTAGGATTTTAGATAAAATGTATGAAGCACCAGTTTTTAGACACTGAACAAAAGGCATTGCCTGTCTTGAAATCCAGAAAGTAGGTGAAAGAAGTAAGGTGAGTTCTATGATTGCCTGAGAGGCAGTTGCTGGACCGTGGTGCAGGATGGCAGGGATTTGTCAAGCCCTTGGTGTCTTGCTGAGTTGCAAAGATCAAGGTTGAAGTTTAGAGAAACCAAGACAAGACTGGTGAAGAGCAGGGAGTTGAATACAGAGGGAGTACCAGAGAATTGCAGAAAGGTCCCATCTTTGCTGGGTGTGGACTGAGACCTACCCAGTGCTCAGTCAATAACCACCAGAAAGGAGTGAAGAATACTATTACAGTCTCATACACTGTTGGCAATAGTTTGCATTCCCACCAACCAGAATGAAAGACTTTGTACTTGAGGGCATCAGGTAGAATCCTTAGAAGGGTATTGACTTAGTAGAGGGGTTACTTTAAGACCTGCCCTACCAAAATGTAAAAGCAAACCTTGAAAGACTCTAATTCCAAATAACTTGTCTGTGTCAGAACAAAACTCCAATGTTATATATAGGAAGACAAACAAAACAAAACCCAGCATGCAGTAATGTAACATTAAAAAAGCCCAGCATCCATTGAAAAATTAATAAGCCTGCAATGAAGTAGGAAAACATGGTCTACAATCAGGAGAAAAAAATAGTTCATAGAAAAAGACTCAAAAATAATAGGGATGGTGGAACTCACAAAGATGCTAAAGCAGTTAAGAATATGCTCCATTGCTTAAGAAAAAAATCATGAACACAACGAGAAAAGAAACAG